CCAATGGAAGCTTCCTTTGCCAGGGGAGATGGAAGTGGAGCCTCAGATTGGCACGGAAGGGAGGAAAGAATAGAGGAAGGGCGCCCCGGGAGTAAGGGGTGGGGGGGCAGGTGGCTTCCTTCCAAGTGATTTACTGGGTCTAGTTTTTCCTCTTCCTCCTCCCACCTAGATCCAAGTTTGGAATAAAGAAAGCTGCTTCTTTGAGAACATTTGCCAGTACGCAGCTTGGCTTAAGAATAGAGGCTGAGCCCTAGCCGGTTTGGTTAGAGCATCGGCCTGTGGACTGAAGGGTCCCGGGTTCAATTCCAGTCAAGGGCACATGCCCAGGTTGCAGGCTCAATCAGCAGTAGGGGGGCGTGCAGGAGGCAGCTGATCAATGATTCTCTCTCATCATTGATGTTTCCATCTCTCTCTCCCTCTCCCTTCCTCTCTGAAATCAATAAAAATATATTTTAAAAAAGTAGAGGCTGAACACCTAGTGGGGATTTTTCCTAAAGTGCCGAACCGAAGTCTATTGCATTGCCTGAGTTGGAAAGTGAAATTTATTTATGAATTTATTTCTGGTGCAGCTTCAGCTGCAGAAATAGTGATCATTCAAGGATTTGGATTGCATTCTGGGATAGAATCTATGGAGGGTACCGAGGCAGAGGAAGGGCCAACAACCAGTGCGTGTTGAAGTCGAAGCAATGTGTCGGGCTCATCTGTACCTTGGCGCCTTGAAGCAGTTGGGTGGAGCCAGAGAGAAAGCAAGATGGAGGAAGGATTTGGGGTAGACCAGTTGGGCCCCAGAATGCCTTGCAGAAGACTGGCTGGGGTCTGAGTGCCTTGGGGTACACAGAATTGGATTGTTTAGCTGGAGGTCCCCACTCCAGCTTCAGTAGCCCCAGCCCGCAGCCTCGCCTCGGAGAGATTTGCTATCACTGACTCCAGCAGCCTTAAGCTCTCCTCTGTACTGAGTCACTGAGAGCCTCCCCAGTTGCCATGCCCTCTGCTCTACTAAGAAGAGTGGGATTTGGGCCACATGACTTTACTGTCACATGATTGACATACAGCCTTTGAGTGATGAAGGAGACCCCTCCTCACCAAGTCAGAACTGCCTGGGGGCAGGAGAGAGGAATTCCCCATTCCCTGTAGTTGTGAATCAGAGCCCCATGTGCTGAAACATACATCCCACTGCCTGAAACTCACACTCAGGAGTGAGTCAGCATTGCCCCATCTGATGGACAGACAATGGAGACATCCCAGGCTCAAGCCACACTGCGGACGTCTGAATCCCAAGAGAGTTCTTCAAGAACATAGAAGAACTGATTTCTCCAGAGCCTTGGAGAGGTTCATTCCCTCGACCAAGCCAGATCTCACCATTCCAAGAGTCAGGAAGTTCCTTCTGATCTCTACCTTAGTTCCTCCTGCTTTCTCCCTTTTCATTGGCTCTTCCGTAGAGTGACACAAGTCTTGGGACTTAGTTTTGTTCCATATAGTATCCAAAATGCCTACATACATGGTGATTTAAAAAAATTAACAACCAGGGCAGTTCTAATCAGAATAGACTCTGGCTGGGGTGCTGAGCCAGGTCCAAGTGGAAACAGCCCTGGGTTTGGGTTCTAGCCTTGGCTTTGTAGCTAATTTGCTACCTGACCTTGAGCAAATCACTTGACCTCTCTGGGCCTCAGTTTTCTCACCTATAAAATGGGGGGATTTGGACTAGAGGTTGCAACCTCATATGCCTACAGGGTCAGGCAATGAAAGTAAATGAGTGAACCCAATAGGGTGGGGTTGTGCCAACTGTAATGTGTAGGCCCCTGTACATGGGCAGCCATTGCCCGGTGGAACTGCGGGCCCAAGGTGTTGAGAGCATTTGATTCTCCAAAGAGCTGCTGAGAATCCAGACGCTTATGTGAAGTCTCCCGGTGTGTAAAATACTATGTGGATCAAACAAATATCTCTAAGCCAGCTTCACCCTCAGACTAGAGGATTGGAAGGGCTCTCCCAGCTTGAATTTTCTGATTCTAAAATATGAGTCTTCTAAAGATCTTTAAGAAATCACCTTAGTTGTGGAGATTTCAGCTAGTGCAAAAGTGAATGCCTGCCTGTGGGCTTATACTTTTACTAGAGGCCAGAAAATGAAATTCCTGCAAGAGTAGGCCTTCCTTCCCCTGGCTGCTGGCACTGGCTTCCCTCTGGCAGCTGGGACCCGGGCTTCCCCCTGGCTTCGTCTGGAAGGTCTTATGGAAGGACGTCCAGTCTAATTAGCATATTATACTTTTATGCCATTGGGCTTTTTAATTTATTTTGTTTTGTTAATCCTCACCCGAGGACATTTCCCCATTGATTTTTAGAGATAGTGGAAGGGACGGGGAGAGAAAGAGAGCTGATAGAGACACATTTATTGGTTGCCTCCTGGACACACCCCAACCAGGGCCGGGGATTGAGCTTGCAACTGAGGTCCGTGCTCTTCACCAGAATAGAACTGGGACCCTTCAGTCCACAGGCTGACGCTCTATCCACTGAGCCAAACGGGCTAGGGTGCGATTGGGCGTTTATCTCCCCTTAAATGACACCCTGCTGGTGGTCCCCTCTGATCCTTACACCTGCAGTGGACTGTTTGCTTGGTCTCTGGAGCCTAGCCTTGAGCTATAAGGAAGATGCTGCTTGTCCAGTGAGCTCATCAGCCATAAAGATCTGGCTGTGCTGATGTGATAGCCCCTCCCCTGCATGAAGGCAGAGTTGGTCAGGCAGCGGCTGGCTGAGGCAGGCTTGGGGCTTGCTGCCTTCCTAGGCTTTTGTTGGCGATGTCCCTAAGCTTAATTGGGACTGGGGATCAAGTCCACATTATTACGAATCTGGAGCTCTCCAACCTGCCGGCATTAGTTTACTAGGTCTACTGAACCAACGTACCAGAGACTGGGTGGCTTAAACAACAGAAACTTACTGCCTCCCAGTTCCTGAGGCTAGAAGCTCAAAATCAAAGTGTCTGTAAGGCTGGTTCCTTCTGAGGGCTTTGAGGGACGGATCTGTTCCAGGCCTCTCCTTGGTTTGTAGATGCTATCTTCTCCCTGTGCCTGTCTCTGTGTCCAAATTTCCCTTTTTTATAAGGACCAGTCATGTTTGAGCAGAATCCACCCTACGCACCCCATTTTAACTTGATTAGCTCTGTAAGGACCCTATCTCCAAGTAAGGTCACATTCTGAGATACTGGAGGTTACGGGACTTCAACATTTGAATTTAGGGGGACACCATTCAACCATAATACTCCTCCATGGCCTCTCACTCAGTGCTTTAAACTCCAACACTTTTTTTTTTTCTTATGTCCATTGGTCATGCTCATATGCATGCATACAAGTCGTTCGGTTGATCTCTTACCCCCCTCCCTCCTGCCCCCCAACCCTCCCCGGCCTTCCCGCTGCAGTTTGACAATCTGTGTGAGGCAGCTCTGCCTCTGTATCTATTATTGTTCAAAAGATTATAATGGTCTCTATTATCCATGAATGAGTGAGATCATGTGGTATTTTTCCTTCATTGACTGGCTTATTTCACTTAGCATAATGCTCTCCAGTTCCATCCATGCTGTTGCAAATGGTAAGAGTTCCTTCTTTTTTACAGCAGCATAGTATTCCATCGTGTAGATGTACCACAGTTTTCTAATCCATTCATCTACTGATGGGCACTTAGGCTGTTTCCAGATCTTAGCTATGGTGAATTGTGCTGCTATGAACATATGGGTGCATATATCCTTTCTGATTGGTGTTTTTGGTTTCTTGGGATATATTCCTAGAAGTGGGATCACAGGGTCAAATGGGAGTTCCATTTTTAGTTTTTTGAGGAAACTCCATACTGTCTTCCATAGTGGCTGCACCAGTCTGCATTCCCACCAGCAGTGCACAAGTGTTCCTTTTTCTCCACATCCTCTCCAGCACTTGTCGTTTGTTGATTTGTTGATGATAGCTAAACTCCAACACTTAACTATTCTGCTTATGCCCATTCTTACTGATGACAGCTCAGTGCAGCTGGGGTCTCGTGCCCTGGTGCACAGCTCACTGTAAGCATGTATTCTGTCCGGACTGGCGATCTCTCCTCAAGTGCCTGCTATGGGATATACGGGCCTTGAATTTCAGGCAATAACCGGAGATGTCATCTGGTTCTGTGAGGCACTGCCTGCATGGTACTTTTTATCCTTATACACTGATAAAAATGGCAAGTATTTATATAGCGCTCGATGAGTGCCAACGACTGTTCCAATCACTTTATATTAAGTAACTTACTGAATCCCCACAATACCCCTTTGAGCAGGGAGCTATGATTTACCTTGTTCTAGCTCAGATCAGAAACTGGGGTCCAGAGAGCTTAGAAACTTTCCCAAGTCTGTAGTAACCGAAGGAGTTGGGGTTTGAATCCCAATACTTTGAAATGAGATAAACAATTGGGGTGCGAATCTCCAGATGCCATGCTTTTCATCTTTACGGGAGAGTGACCGAATAGATGAGGAAACTGAAACGCAGTAACTCAGCCAAGGTCACCCAGGTAAGAGGCGGAGTCAAGGCGGAATTCCTGCTCTGCAAGCCACAGGGCTTCCCCCAGAAGAGACCCAGGGTCCCTTCCCCATAGCCTGCTTCCACAGGCCCACGGCTAGCCGGGCCACCCAGAATCGCTAAACCTTTATCTGGGGTTAACAGTCTCCACACAGCAGGGTAATTATGGGGCATGAAGGGGGGGTGGCACCCTCTAGATTTAGATCTGACCTCCCCGTCGCTTCCAGTTCCCTGGACCACCAGCCCCCCCGGACACAAGGTGTGAGCCTGCATCTGCACATTTTCTCAGGGGGGTGGTAAGAATCGGGGCGGGGCCTCCCGGAGCACAGAGGTTCATATTTCTCGCAACCCGCCAATCCTGAGCGCAGGGGGCGCGGCCACACCTGGGGGGCGTGGCCAGGTGGCGGAGGTGGCGGTGGCGTCTGGGGTGAGGCGCTGACGTGAGCTGGGCGCACCTGGGCGGAGCAGGTAAGCGCCAGTGCGGGACCGTGAGCGGAGCCCGCATTCCCTACCTGCGCAGAGCCGGGTGTTACCTGCCCAACCTGTCGAGGCGCGCGGTGGCGACTGGAGATCTCAGCTGGGGACATGGTTCGGAGGGACGTCCGCTTCTGGTAGCCGATTGAGGAAAGGTGGGGACGCCAGCTTCTGGAGGCCAATCTGGGGGTGGGGGTGGTTGGGAGGGACACGCCCGCTGGGGGAGAAAGGCCCGTTCCTGAGTTTGTGGAGTTAGGAAAACTTGGGGACATCTGTCTTTTTTGGGGGGAACACCCTGTGGGGTTGACTGTCGACCTTCTCCAGGTAGCTTTTGGGGTACCCCAGCCCCGCAGTGCTGGGCCCTCCCGACCCCACACTCCGTCGACTCCCTTTCCTTCCCCGCCCAACCCGCTCTCGGCTCCTACCACCCACCGTCGGATGGAGCTGAGGAGCCTCCACCCTTTGCAGGCTCGCGGGGCCGCCGGCCTCTGTATTTCCCAAGAGGGGAATTCCCAGGCCCGCGGGCCTTTTGGGACTGGTGGGTGTTTGGGGGAGTTGGGGCGTGGGGAGGCCAAGACCTTTAGCCAGTTTGTTTTCTTTCCCTGGATTTGTTTAGCACAGTCCGGCCCCCGCCCTGGGAGACACCAGTGGATTTCCAAGTAGACAAGCGAGGTGCTGGGAGGGTGGCGCCGGGCGTGGCCGCTGGGGGTGAGGCCTCTTCCCGTCGGGGCTGGAGGGCTGGTGGTGTGGAGAAATGTGGAAAGTCTCCCCGGCCTGGCTGGAAGGGAGGCCTGAGGTGCCACACTTTACCTGGAGCCTGCTTGGTGGTAAAGGGGCCATCCCTGCTCTTGATGGATGTCAAAAGTGGAAGCCTGGGAAGGGAGAGGGAGAAGGCGCTTGAGTCCGCTGGTGAAGGCGGGTGGGGAGCCAGGATAGTCCTCTAGGGTTAAACATATGCCTAACGAAGGCAGGACAGCAGCACCCAGTACCCTGCACTTCCCCCTCGCCGGCCCCCAAAGTCAATCCAGCAGAGAAGAAGGGCACGGGAATTATGCCTATCAACCCAGGATTTACCCCTGAGCAGGGCTGAACTAAAGGGAGGACTGACTGGGAACCTGGAAGTTGGTATTTCAGTTCCCTCCGGAAGGAAGGGAAAAAACAGGACCACCACTGAGGCCTGTCTGCAAGAAATAGCAGTGTGTTTTATTCTGCGGAAAACCTTTGACAGCCAAATCTCAGCGTTGGGGTAGCTGTGCCCCCCCCGGAAACTTGTCTGGGCAGGAGCTGCAGAGATGGCAGTGGGATGTTTATAGAGGACCTGCCCCTGGAATGGGGGTATGAGAGAGCATGGTTAGTGCCTGGGAGAGGTTGAAAATGTGCCTGCTCAATGCCCAGTATGAAGGGAGGGGGGTAGGTTAGCATCTTTGCTCTTTGGCTGGTTAAATACATGTTGGAGACACAGGCCTTGAATTTCGCTGTGATGGCAGCTAGAGATACCAGGGCTGAGTTCAACTAGGCCGAGGTGGTTCTGTGGGCTTTGGGCTTTGGGTGGTGAGGGTGTTTGGAAAGAGAACTCTGATTTAGGTGTGTTTGAAGGGGGGTGTCTTGTAGTCTTCTCCCGGTTGGCCCTCCATGCTGTTGGCATCTTTGTTGGTGTTTTTGGTTTATGCTCTCAGTGTGTAGAACAGTGGTTCTCAACCTTCTGGCCCTTTAAATACAGTTCCTCATGTTGTGACCCAACCATAAAATTATTTTCGTTGCTACTTCATAACTGTAATGTTGCTACTGTTATGAACCGTAATGTAAGTATCTGATATGCAGGATGGTCTTAGGCGACCCCTGTGAAAGAGAACCGCTGGTGTAGAAGAAGGGAGAGATTTGGATGGCGGGGTGCAGTGGCAGGACTTGGGACAGCACACTGATTCAGGAGTGCTGGATCAAGGCCCCAGATAAAGCACTTCACTTTTCTGTGTCTCAGTTAACACAGCTACAAATGGGGATGAGAATAATACCACTTCCACATCATGAGGATGGAATCAGACACATTAAGTAAAAATACATGTAAAAACTGTAAAGCCTGTGTAGATATAAAGGGTTGTTGTTACCATGGTCTCATCAGTTGAAGGCCATCATCTTCTATACCAGTGGTTCCCAACGTGAGACACATGCCCCACAGGGGGGAGGGGAGGGGGGAGGGGCAATTTGATTTTTAAGGGGGGGCAATTTGAGAATGAGTTATTAACAGTGAATTTTTTGCATTTCTTATGGTTCTAGGGGCCTCAAATACAGTATATAAATATATATTGTGACATATTTATTTTCAGTTCTTTACCATGGTCTCATCAGTTGAAGGCCATCATCTTCTATACCAGTGGTTCCCAACGTGAGACACATGCCCCACAGGGGGGAGGGGAGGGGGGAGGGGCAATTTGATTTTTAAGGGGGGGCAATTTGAGAATGAGTTATTAACAGTGAATTTTTTGCATTTCTTATGGTTCTAGGGGCCTCAAATACAGTATATAAATATATATTGTGACATATTTATGTATTTCAGTTCTCTATTATATGTTTTGAAACTTTATTTGCTACTTTTTCTTATCACTTCATATTATTATTATTTTTTAACAATTTCTTCCTCAGTACTTCACCTGTCCTTTTGTTCTTTTATTTTTCTCTTTCATGGATGCCATGTTCTTTGGAAGCTTGTTTAGACCAAGTTAATGGCCCTTTAGGCTTCCTCCATGTGAATAGGACTTCACTTTTTGAATAATAAGAATTATATGTCATGGGGTGGGCATCAGGATTTTAGAGATGCTTAGGTGGGGCATGGCCAAAAAAAGGTTGGGAACCACTGTTCTATACCTTACAGTGACCAAGAAATGTCTTAGCTTCCTGTGGTTAAAAAAAAAAAATACTACTTGTAGTTTTTAAAAAAAATAATAAATTGAAACATGTCATTGCAGGAAAAGATGAATCATATATAAAAGTATATAGGCAGGTATAAAATTCACTCATGATCCTATCACCAGGTAACCATTGCGAATGTCTTGTTGCATTGGTGTATTCTTTCATTCCCTTTTTAAAATTCTGTGTGTGCATGTATACGGATCCACGTGCATGTTGTTACAAGATGGAGATACTCCTGGGCAATCGATATGATATGCTGCATTTTCTCCCTTAACTTCATATTGTAAACCTTTTCCCGAATCCAATAAAAATTATTCAGATGCCCCGTTGTTAATAGCTGCTTAATATTGCAGCCTGTGAACATGTAATTAGCCATTCTCCTCTGTTATTTGGTTGCTTCCATTTTTTCCCTCTCTGCCTGTTTTTAGACTCTTAGTTACTGGGTGGCAGATGGGGGAGATCTTGGCTGACTTTCAGAAGGTGGAGGAGGGCAGGCTGGGGCGGGTTGCTCTTGGGTACGGCCATCTCGGGAGAACGCTGAGAACCAGGGCTCGAGATCTTAATCATCGGCCTCTATGGGTGGCTGCTTCTCCTTCCCCATCACTATGTGCAGTTCCTTGTGTTGACCTGGTTGCCTTAATTTTTTCTTCATGGGCTGTGGATCAACTAGAATAAACACTTTTCTTCAAAGTCCAGGATCCATCAACAGGTTGATTTTATGTGTCAGACAGGCCCAGACACAGGACTTGGATGCATTGCAATATAAATTCTCAAAAGCCCCTCGCTAGGTTGACTGGTTGGCTGCCCATTTTTCTATTCTTTTTATCCTTCCCTTGCCCCTCCCCCTCCCAGTAGGCTAGGACTGAGGAGGAGAAGGTAGAACTCGCCCTTGGGAGAATGTGTTTCCTCCTCCTTATAAGGTAATGGTCTCCGGGCTTTGATGGCTTGTGTTGCTGCCCTGCAAAACAACCTAAACCAAGGCCAAGACCAGGGGGTGGGGGTACTTGAATTCTGCATGCCAACCACCTCACCTACCCACTGAGCTGTGCTCCCCAGGGGGAAGGTTTCAGTTGCAGGAGATGGTAATTGGGTCAGAAGGCTCAGGTAAGAGCAGGTCTTGCCTTGCTCTTAAAGTGCCAGGGCTGAGTTGGCTTTGGGTTTTCCCCATTGGATGGAAGTCTAGCCCCTCAGCTAAGGGCCTCTGAATGGGAGCCTTTCGCTGACTCAACTGATTTGGTTTCTGAACTGTGATCCAGGTAGGGGTCTTTCTGGGTATGAAGGTGACTTATTTGTCTTCCTTTCCTCCTCAGGGCTTGAGCAGTTCTAATGTGGATTTCTTCAGGAAGGAGTCTGATGAAAACATTGCGCTTTAGCGCTTAGTAACTACCATAGTGCTTGACACTCAGTAGCTGATGACCAACTCTTTGTTGAATGAATGTTATTTTTTAGGTGTTTCTTTCTTACCTTAAGTAAAAACAAAGTAAAATAAGAACACCAAAAAAATAAATAATAAAAATCTAAGCACAACATTCCAGGCAAACAATTCTTCAGTGACCAGCTTTTCCTTTGGGCACACAATCTAGGCAAACCTTTGTTTCCTGTTGTGAGTGCTGGCTGCCTCCAATGCTATCTGCTATGTCTGGGCATTTTTATGAGACTTAATTGCAGACTTTACCCAGGCTGGCTCCTGCAACCAATCAGCTCACTCCAGCCTCTGGGAAATGAGCAGACCCAGGTAAGGAGGCCATCCGAGCAGGACAGGCCCTGTCTGTAGTGCTCTAGGCTTAGGAACAGTGGTATTTGATTATTCTAGGGTTTCTGAGTTTGACCAGACTCACCTGCAGGGCAGGTCCTCAGAGTCTCCAGCATTCCCAAGTCTTTTTCCACACACTAGATTGTTCTGTGGATAACCAAGTCAGCACCCCCTCATTTTTTTTTTTCCGTACAGAATCTTTGGGTGGCCCAGAGAAAGGACAGCCAACTCAAAGCCCAGCTCTTCAGATCCTGGTGGATATACTACCTGCTCTATGTAAGTGAGGACTTTGGAACTGGGACCTCCCACCCCCCACAGCCCCCAGCCCACTTCTCTCTCCCCATGAAGGTGTTATTTCTTACTAAAATATTCCCATTCATCTTTAGTTGTCTGTCTAAAAAGAGAGCATGCTTCAGGTTCTTGCCCACATCCTTATTGTTTCCATAACAATTTTTCTTCCATCTCCTGAGACGAGTTTGAAAAGAATAATTTTTGCCCGGCCGGTGTGGCTCAGTGGTTGACCTATGAACCAGGAGGTCACAGTTCGATTCCTGGCTAGGGCACATGCCCGGATTGGGGGCTCAAACTCCAATGGGGGGGCGTGCAGGAGGCAGCTGGTCAATAATTATCTCATCATTGATGTTTCTAGCTCTCTCTCCCTCTCTCTTAAATCAATAAAAACATATTAAAAAGAAAAGAGTACTTTTCTTTCTCTTCCAAAGCCCTTGGTACTTTAGGAAGGACTGTGTTCCAGCAGAGATGACATCATCTTTTCATTTTTCTGCTCCAGGATTTAAATAGAAGAAATGTGATCTGCTTACATGATAAGTCTGATTTGGCTAGAGCATGAAGTATAAATGGCTTTGGAATAAGAATCAAAAGAACCCTTTAACCTCTTTTCTTTTCTTCCCCACCTGGCACAGTGTATTCCCATATTTAGTTTCTTTGCTGTAATCTAATGAAACTGTAGCTCTATCATAAGGGAACAGTGACTGGGAAAAGTTCCCAGCGACTGGCCTAATTCTCCTGTTCTCCCCATTTCTTCCCCCTCCCCCACCCAGATCATGGCCCTTCACCCCCGCAGAGTTCGGCTGAAGCCCTGGCTGGTGGCCCAGGTGGATAGTGGCCTGTACCCTGGGCTCATCTGGCTGCACAGGGACTCCAAACGCTTCCAGATTCCCTGGAAACATGCCACCCGGCATAGCCCCCAACAGGAGGAGGAAAATACCATTTTCAAGGTAAAGAGCCTTACCATTTGACTTGAAACGTTTTCCATTCTCTCAGACTTTGTTGGCTTTTATGGTTTGTGCTGGTTTCTCTTTTGACATGAGGAATACACTAAATCCAAAACGCTGATGCAACAGTGTTTATGATGGGGGTGCCCAAACTTCACAGGCATAGTAATTTCTCTTGTTGGGGCATGTCTATGATGGTTGAGGTCATTTATTCTTTCCCACTGGTCCAAGGTACTCAATTCACATTCCAAAGGATCCTGGGTAAAGTTGGCCAAACTCCTGTGAGTTGTTCCAAAAGCTCCCAAGAGTCAGCAATGGACTCTTCCTCTTCATTCGCTCAGGGTTCTTGCTATGAAGAAAGGTATCTGGGCCTGGGAATGGCTCTTCAGACCAGGGCAGGACTACTGAGTGTCAGCAGGCTCCTAGCATAGTCTGTAAGATGGGTGTAGTGGACCCTTAGCAAGTTTTTCTTTTGATATTGACATATTTTGCCCTATCCATGCCTCTGCTTAAAAATTAAAAGGTGACTTAATTATGTTTTCATTATACAAATATCTTTTCTATAAATAAAAGGCAGCATTGGGGATATAGTCAATAATATTGTAATAACTATGTATGGTGTAGGGTGGGTGTTACACTTATCAAGGGGATCACTTCGTAAATTATATAAATGTCTAATCACTATGTTTTACATCTGAAACTAATATAATATTACACATCAACTGTAATTGAAAAATAATTTAGAAATTTAAAAATCGAAAATTACATTAAAATAAAGACATTTGTTGTGATATGAGAGTAATTTTACTTAACTGAAAACAAGTTTTAATCACCTGGCATGTTACAAATGTTAAGTGAAACCAGAGCTGACTTAGCCAGAAGCAGGTGGGAAGCTGCTGTGGGCAGGGGTGTGATGTGGTTGGTAACTTGCGAGCCTGCACCCCATCTCCAGACCAAAACTTCTCTGTGCTGGTCAGTCTTCCAGCTCGTGAGTAACTTTTGTTACTGCACCCCCAAGACACCAAGAAGTGAATTCATCCTTTGTTTCCTGACTCTAAGCTGCAAGTCAGAAGTGAAATTCAGTCTCTACCGTGGGCCTGTCAAGATCTTGCCGAGACTGGACCAGGAAAGGTGGGCTCACATCTCAAAGGAGAGCCATCCTGGAGATGTCTCCCACCCGACTCAGTTATGTCAGGTGTAGAGAGAAGAGGCAGAGAGAAAATTGGCCCGAGAAAGTGAACGAGCACTTAATTTAAAATTAAATAATGATACAATAGGGATAGGAAAACATCTGTAAACCAGCACCAACATTCGAGTTGGCACGGAGGGGGGATGGGCCTACCCTGCCTCCAGCTGGTCTGAAATTGGGTTTGCTGTTGACGTAGCTGGTGGTGGCTGGCCACGGAGGAAGAGGCTGGTTCCTAGAAGCCCCACTCAGAAGAGCAATTTTCGTGCTTAGGGTTTGAGGAAAAGGGGGCTGTGGGAAGCTGTGTGGTCATTTTTATCTGTGTATCTGTTTGCAGATGCTAAGGGAGAGCCTTAGAAGTCAGGAGAAAAGTGAGGTTGCTTTCACAGATCCAAAGCTCTGACCGGCCTTTGACAGGATGGTGGGTTAGGGGTGGGGGCACTAGCATTAAGAGGATGCCTGATCCACACCCTATGTCCATTTTCTCATTTAATTCTCGGCAGCTCTGTAAGGGAGTTTACTCTCATGTTGTAGATGCAGAAGCTGAGTCTCTGAGGGGCTAAGTAGCTTGCTGAAATCACACAGCCAATACATGGTGGGGTCATGATTTGAACCCAGGCCTACCTTCTCCCCCATTTTCATCCTGCCCCTTCTCACTGGGAATTGGAAGACCTGTCTGCAGGTCCTGCTACCATCAATTGCATGTGTGGTCTTGAGCAAGTCACATAAATCTCCTTGGGATTTAGATTCCCCTTCAGTAAAATGGAGATGAACCCAGTCTTGCTTGCCTCGCAAGGATTGTTGTGAAAATTGAAAGAATGGGGCTCGTAGATTACCATAAAAATGCAGGGGTTACTTCCATTTTAGGAAGAGAAATAGGGACCTGTACAGTGACCAGAATCTCAGAAGTATGACTCAGAACAGGTTTGAACAAGTGATATTTATAAATCACAGTGATGGCCTTGTGGTGGGTGCTACCTTCTGCTGCATCAGAATAAACCCTCCATGTCATCTGCGTGGGCCCTGGTGTGTGTGTGTGTGTGTGTGTGAGTGTGTGTGTGTGTGTGTGTGTCAGTGTTTCTGGGCATCAGTAGGCACTCACTGCAGTTTCCTGTTCCTCAGGCCTGGGCTGTGGAGACAGGGAAGTACCAGGAAGGGGTGGATGACCCTGACCCGGCTAAATGGAAGGCCCAGCTCCGCTGTGCTCTCAACAAGAGCAGGGAATTCAACCTGATGTATGATGGCACCAAGGAGGTGCCCATGAATCCAGTGAAGATATATCAAGTGTGTGACATCCCCCAGCCCCAGGGCTCCATCATTAACCCAGGTGAGGCCTCAGCTGCTAGGGAGAAGGTAGACCGTTTGTCAAGTTCTAGGCTGGACTCTTAAAGAGATAGGTGACTTAAAAATTGCCTGGCTTTTTACGTTTAAGACTGGTAAAGCAAGAAAGCCTTTCCCTAGGAAGGACCCAGAGAACAGAAGATGTAAACTCAGCAAAATCTTCTTGCTCATTTAGGGGGATAGGTACTAGCCCGATTGCTTAAAGCATTAGAAAGTAGAGGGAGTATAGTATAGATTTCTACCAAAAAAAAAAAAAAAGCTTCTTGGGACTTAACACTAAGAGCAGAGACCAGGTAGTTTAGAAGAAAGAAGAGATAAAACTTAGAAGGTTTGAGTTCTAAAGCTGGTTCTTGTCACTTCACTACTTGTGGGACATTGAATCAAGGCATTTGACCTAGCGAGTCTCAGTTTTTCAGCTGAAAAATGGGGATGCGCATCTTTCTTGCCTAGTTCAAAGGCTATTGCAAGAATCAATTGACATGTGTAAAAGCTCTTAAGTTCTCTTTATAAATGTTGAGGTGAGTGGCCATTTAGTTGTAGGATACTTTTACTAAGAGAATACCACCCGATCCTCCTAAATACCCAATCCTTAACAAGAAGTGATTAAGAGCCAGATACATTTTTTTTTTTTTTTTTGGAGAGCCAGATAATTTTGATTTGTCCTCAGCAAATCTGGTGAGGCCCTGCCAGGAGAGAAGGGTCTGTTCTCACATTAAGCTTACAAAAGAGAGAAGTTGGTGTTCTTGAGTTCTTTTTTTTTTTTTTTTTTTAAATATATTTTATTGATTTTTTTACAGAGAGGAAGGGAGAGGGATAGCAAGTTAGAAACATCGATGAGAGAGAAACATGGATTCAGCTGCCTCTTGCACGCCCCCTACTGGGGATGTGCCCGCAACCCAGGTACATGCCCTTGACCGGAATCGAACCTGGGACCCTTGAGTCCGCAGGCCGATGCTCTATCCGCTGAGCCAAACCAGCTAGGGCGTGTTCTTGAGTTCTTAAAAGGGATGCTAATGTGTAGGAAGAGGGTTAGAATACAAATTAAGAGATTTCTGTAGAAGGGAGTAGGGTTTGCAGTTCCTTAATAGGGGAGGGGAAGAGAGCTTACATCAGGGCTCCGTGGGAAGAGTTGGAATCAGGGATCAACATATCCTCGGCTCCCACTCCTCTTGACTAGGGCACTGAGGGTGCACACTGAGCCCAGAGACCCCCTGTGCTAGCTGTCCCTAGCTTGTGCAGGGGGTTGGCTACAGCAATAACTGGGACCTGAGGGGGTTCACTTGCAGCTGCGTGTCTGTTTCTTGGTAGGATCCACTGGATCTGCTCCTTGGGATGAGAAGGATAATGATGTGGATGAAGAAGATGAGGAAGATGAGCTGGATCAGTCACAGCACCATGTTCCCATCCAGGACACCTTTCCCTTCCTGAACATCAATGGTGAGTAGGGGTGATAGGTGGTCCAGAGGGGTGAGGAGGGCTTTGACCTTGCTCCTGCTGACCCCTCAGCCACCACTGCACTGGGAGCAGTGACCAGGCCCTGTGGCCAGGCTGCTGGCCTGTTAGCAAGCAGGGGTCATAGGCAAGTGAACTCTGCTGGCCCAGTTAAAAATTTTACTAATTCTCAGTCCCACATACAAAACTTTTATACATTTTGCTGACTTCTTTCAGGCCAAGTTGCAGGCATCATTTTCATGAATTGTAGGTAGACTCTTCTGCTCTTTCCCTCAGTATAAATTTTGTGTCACTTTCTGGACAGGGTCTACTCAGCTAAGGTTCTGTGATGGGAACTTGTGGTTTCTACAGCTCTGTTCTCGGCTCTGATAGAATTGAGCTGCAAGGGACTTTTCTTTTGTGGATTTTTAAAAATACATTTTTAAAAATTAATCTTTATTGTTGAGATTATTACAGATGTCCCTTTCCCACCCTCCCCTCCATAGTTCCCCTCCTCCTGGTTCCCACCCCACCCCAGGCCCTCGCCACCCTATTGTCTGTGTCCATAGGTAATGCATACATGCATATAAGATTTTTGTCTAATCTCTTCCTATAACCCCCACACCCTCTTACCTCTGAGAATTACCTCTGTTCCATTTCCATGCCCCTGATTCTATTCTATTTACCAGTTTATTCTGTTCATCAGATTTTTTATTCATTTAAGTTTTAGATTCAATTGTTGATAGATATGTATTTGTTGTCACTTTGTTGTTCATATTTTTTATCTTTACTTTTTCTCCTTCTTCCTCGTCTTAAAGAATATCCTTCAGCATTTCATATAATACTGGTTTGGTGATGATGAAGTCCTTTAGCTTTTTCTTGTCTGTGAAGCTCTTTATCTGACCTTCAATTCTAAATGATAGTTTTGCTGGGTAAAGTAATCTTGGTTGTCGGTTCTTGCTCTTCATCACTTTGAATATTTTTTGCCACTCCCTTCTGGACTGCATAGTTTCTGTTGAGAAATCAACAATGGGCACTCCCTTGGAGGTAACTAACAGTTTTTCTCTTGCTGCTTTTAAGATTCTCTTTATGTTTTGACCTTGGCATTTTAATTATGATGTGTCTTGGTGTGGTCCTCTTTGGATTCCTCTTGTTTGGGGTTCTCTGTGCTTCCTGGACTTGTAAGTCTATTTCTTTCACCAGGTAGGGGAAGTTTTCTGTCATTATTTCTTCAAATAGGTTTTCAATATCTTGCTCTCTCTCCTCTTCTGGCACCCCTATAATTTGGATGTTGGTACGCTTGAAGTTGTCCCAGAGGCTCCTTACACTATCTTCGTATTTT